ATGTATATATATATATATATATGTATATATATACATATATATACATATATGTATATATATACATATTTATGCATATATGTATATATATATATACATATATATATATATATATATATATATATAATATATATATATATATATATATATATATATATATATATATATATATATATATATATATATATATATATATATATATATATATATATATATATATATATATATATATATATATATATATATATATATAGGGCCTACAATCGGCGTGTATATATATATATATATATATATATATATATATATATATACGTATATATATATATATATATATATATATATATATATATATATATATATATATATATATATATACACGCCGATTAACCTTTTGTGGGGCCTGAAGCTAAGTGAATTTTTGGGCCCTAAAATCTTATTACCAAAATATAAGTAAAACGCAATGGAAAACAAAAAAACTTTGAAAAAACTATAAATTCATTTTAATTCATAAAAATAACAATAAACATAATAGAATTTAAATTTTTTGATTGCGGCATTTTTTATTTGCAAATTTTCTTATTACTTTATCATAAGATACTGATGTTAAGTCATTTTCAATTGACAAAGTTGAAAGGAAATTAAGTCTGACTTCCAGCATTGTAGTGCGATATTTATTTTTAATAATTGTTAATTTTGATAATTAAACTTATAGAAGTCTATAATTTTAATAACTCTCTAAAAATCTCCGTATCAAATCGCAGGAAAGGAATAAAAAAATTTAGTACAATCAGAAAATAAATAAAACGACATTTTTTTTCTCATTTTCAATTTCTGTAGTTTTTTCTTAATTTTTTAGAATTATATTTGATATAAAATTGAAAGTGTAGGGGGCATATATATATATATATATATATATATATATATATATATATATATATATATATATATATTATATATATATATATAATATATATATATATATATATATATATATATATATATATATATATATATATATATATATATATATATATATATATATATATATATATATATATATATATATATATATATATATATATATATATATGTATGTATATATATATATATATATATATATATATATATATATATATATATATATATATATATATATATATATATATATATATATATGTATATATATATATATATAAATTTATAATTGCTCTGTTTTGAAAAAGTTTCAGTCTTTTTACGAAAATGCTCTCAACGGAGAGAAGATCAACAGAGACAGGCTTATCTGGAGTGGAACAGCCAAAGCTTTTATTTGTTTTTCTATTTCTTTTTCTGTGGACAAACGCATAATTTTGGCCCTGGATTTCAGTTATTTTCTCGTAAGGTGGAATGGCAGAATAAAAAATAATTAGCAAAAGTTAGGAGAAAGCATTAATAGTCACCAGTAATTCACAGAAATAACTACATCGTCTAATTTCAAATCGGCTTTTAAAATCTTGAAAAAAATCAGACCAAAAGTTAATAGGAAATTTGGTTTTTAAGTGGCGTGAAATTCTGCGCAACATCCAGGACGCCACCCTCCTTTTAGCTTTATGAAATCTAAGCTTTCGAGGTGAGTTTACAATTCATATTTATAAAATAGTTTTACTCTTGTTTGTATTATTATTCTTGTCTAGATTAATTAGACAAAATACCTACACAGACATGATCGTTACATTGAAATATGGATTACATCTAGATTGTCTTGATGTAATGTATGTTTCAATGTTATGATCATATTTTCGTAGGTCATTATACATGCTGAGAGGAGATAAAAGTAATTTTTTTAAAACTCTTTAGTTTTTAGAAAAGTCTAATACAATTCACTTCCATTTAAATGAAATTTCTCGACACCAAAAACGAAGAGAAAGGATACAAGCGCAATATTTTCACAATTCATTCTTACAAAAATCTTTGAACATGTCTCTAAATTTGCATAGATTTAAATGACTACCTTTTTCTTGGCCCCGAATTTCCAAAAAAGGAAAAGAAATAAGAAAACTGTTTACAGCAAATCGAAAAACACAGCTCACTTCCACAAAAATGAATCAAAAGATTTTGAGGTAAATATATATTTAATATAGCTCTTATACATACTCCAACAGATAAGAAGGATAAATACAACTCGACCAAACACGACTTCGCTAAAACTTTATTGTGCAAAGATATCATTCCAGTTAAATGCAATATTTTTATTTTATTTAGGTGCCCAAATAAGTCCTTACGGTCTTATTATAGAGCACCGCGGGCGAGCAATAAATTGGAAGTTCACGCCTCCTTTCTAACCAATATTGTTAAACTTGCCCAGAGGTAGGGTTTGAACCACGGATCCTTTGTTTCTGAGGCAAGTGAGCTACCACTGTGCCACGGCTTTTCAAAATCGATCTCTATTAAAATATTTATGATTATGATTGGGCTGTTGAAATAAAGAAACTTGGGGATAACCTTGAACTGGTATCGAGAGTTATATAAAGATTGATGTCTAAAAAGATCATTGATGGACCAACACATATTTTAACTTGTTTTTATGAATAACACATACTATATAACTCGACCAATAATTTAGTCACCCAGGGCAAGGGTTAGCAATCACTCAATAAAAACTATTTTATTGAGTAATTGCTAACCCTGACCTGGGTGATTTTTCAAAAAACTATTACAGAATAGTTACTAACAATTGTCATTTTATGCAACAGTAAGTTCGAAACCACGATAGGTCAGCTAAACTTCAAAAACATCAACAGTTAAACTGTAAGTTAGTTTAGTTTGGAAACAACACGATCACCGTTCAGATGATGTGATCAACTGCCACAAACAATAGGAAATTTAATCCTAATTTGGCCTCGCTTAGTTTGTAGAGCAGCATGATCAAAAGTATGTAAATTACTAACATCTCTATTTTTGCGTCCGGTTTTCATACTTCTCTGTGGAATTGTGAAATATCATCAAATAGTTAATCGACAAATTTCAAAATCACTAGCTTACAAATTGTAATCAATATCTCTTTGTATATAATTAATAATTTGTGTGTTATAATATAAATTCTTTAAAATAAAATTACTTTGAGTATTATTTTGAAAACAATATCACTTGATACACCACAATCTTTAAAACATCGAGAACCCTTATAATTTTTGCGCAATCCAGTTAACAAGTGCACAGTGACTTTAAAATGAAAATAAGTTTTAAATTATTTTTAAAACATACTTAACATACTTGATTCCTCAAAATAATTTTAAACTCCAAGAAAGTATGCACTGCTTTTTTCTAACTGAACTAATACAGCTTCTAAATTATTTTTAAACTAAAAGAATTAATCTTGCATTTATAAAAATGAAAAAAGCTATATGAAATGCAGTATCAGTAGTCAGACATTAAAGATAAATACACATCAGGACATGATGTAACATGTTTGGATTTCGGAAGTAAATACGTAATGTCATAATTGCAATAAATGTTTTAATAATAATATTTTAAAATTTCTGCTTGCAACTTCTTGGATATGCGTTTTATTTTTTTTACTATCATCCATTTCTTTTACTATAGTCTAGCAATCTAAATGATGGGTACTAATAACTTATACACGTTGCTACATGTTTTACCCCATTAACCATCACTAGAAACATTATCTGCAAGACTGTGAAACTGAAAATAATTTACAATTCTCATTATGTAATGCGGCAAATGTAATTGTTCTTACAGTTACATTTATATGCACCAATTATTTACAACTGCATGCTGTCACACTAAACTCCAACTTGTGTCTTTCGGTTTTAGTGGCAATGCGGATGTCAATTACCTTTTTTTTTCAGCTTACAATGTTAGTCGTGATACACTAAAATAAACTATTAAGTCCTTTACACACACACATATTGCAATTATTTAAAAAAAAAAAAGGATAATGGCTATATTTTGCATTTTTTTAGTAAGACGCATTATTTTCTACGGTTTGACACATTTTAAACGTTATTCCTCGAAAAATACGTTTGCACCGTTGGTTAAATATATTAATTATATATATATATATATATATATATATATATATATATATATATATATATATATATATATATATATATATATATATATATATATATTATATATATATATATATATATTATATATATATATACATATATATATATATATATATATATATATATATATATATATATATATATATATATAGGTTATATATATTAATTATATATATATATATATATATATATATATATATATATATATATATATATATATATATATATATATATAATTAATATATTTAACCAATGGTGCAAACGTATTTTTTGAGGAATAACGTTCAAAATGTGTCAAACATTTTTGTCAAAATAATGCGTCTTACTAAAAAAATGCAAAATATAGCCATTATTCTTTTTTTTTTTTTAAATAAATGCAAGTGTTCCAATATATATTTGTATATATATATATATATATATATATATATATATATATATATATATATACAACGCGTGATCACAGTACAAAGTAGGTTTCATGCTCTCGGTGAATCACGTTGATGTGATGTTCTGAAAAAAGTCTTCTTAGGATAATACAAGGGGATACTTTGACAAAACAGCCAGAGTGGTATTTTATTCCACCGTGGTACAACAAACTCTGAAATCTATGTTGATTACACATAAACTCTGGCCCAGTGTGCATTTTAAAGTGGTTTAAAGTGTCACATCAAAATATTAATAGAATTTCATATACATAATTAAAGTTCTCTCAAAAACATTACAAAATTATAGGAAAAGTTATAACTATTGAAGGACTGTCATGCAGTTCACTTATCAATTAGGAACAGCTTTTATGGACCATAGTGGAGGTCAGTCGTTGCGAAAAATTAAGAAATGCAAAAACTTGCAAACGTATAGAGTTATAAAATTTACTTTTTTACTTAAACACTTTTTTCCCTACTAGAGTCAGAATGAAATTAAAACCCATAATCTTGGTAATAATAAATATGCGGTTTATTATTTGTTAAAATTTTTTTATAAATATACAAAATTGTAAATATTGTTAAAATTTTATATAAAGTAATTTTTTTACGAAACGCTAGCACTGCGCTCCTGTTGATTTTGTGCCATGAGCACCTTCAAGTGGCGTTATTTCCTTATCGTTCGGATCAACCGTTTGTCCATCTAAATACGCACGAAGATACTCATAAAATAAAGATTTAGCGCGAGTCAAAACTTTCCAAGAATCATGTTTTCGTGACATTTTATCAAAAAACATCGCAAGCATCGAGTAGTCCATTTGATTTGTAATAATGTTTTCACGATTTATTAAAAGAACAGCTAAGCATAAAAACAAAGGAAACGGAGAACCATCATTTAGGAATCGTGGATGGGGAAGAGCGTCTAACTTAACGCCTTCATCACCTTCTTTATTTACAGAATAATTAGGCCTATATATACCTTCAAAAAGCGGAGAACTTTTCCCACTCTGCTTACCACTGTGGAGAAGTGTGTAATAAAAACAAAGTTCGTTTTCTTCATCGTCAGTATCAGGAGGTACGGAACTCCATATAACTTCCATAACAGTAAGAGCTTCATCAAAAGGAAATTCACGTTTTAACTCCAATAAAAGCATTCTATAGCAAAAATATAAGTTTCCTCCATCGATTTCTTGAAAATATTTATAAAGCTTTTCATCTGTACGTTGCAACAGCAAAGAGAGCTGTCCGAACTTTTGTAATAAAGCCGTTCCTTTTAGTAAAAAATTGTTTCTTAATCTTTCCATCACTTTGCAAAAACTCAAGTATGCTAACACTTCGTCGCCAATCACAACCAGGAGCGGAGCTGCTAAATCGCTCATGCCCTGACAATATGAAATTTCAGGGTTATTTAATGCAAAAGTTGTTAATATATTAAATAAAGAGACTATATTAGGGTGATCCTCTGGTACATTAAAAAATGGATGGGTTCGATCAGTCCTTAAAACGTCTTTTTGTACCATATGCATCACATTGTCAATATCTTGTGGTCTTTTATTTAGCCATTGCTCTTTAAGGTGGTTATAGACTCTAGCTTTCATCTGAAGAAATCGAGCTCGCTCTTCTATAGTTAAATCAGAAGGATAAACTCCTAGCAAATGCACCCATGCTTCCTTACGCAAACTCGGCTCTAACCCACCATGAAAAACACTTATTCGTATATCTTTTGAAGAGATTATTCTTCCGTTAGGATCAAAAAAATCATTCCAGTCTCTCTGACTAACAGGAAACCGTCTATGGGAGTCTATAAGAACATCAAACATCTTGTTGATTTGTTTAGACATTTGCTTTTTTATAGAGTGTATTGAAGGAATTGAATAATGGTTAGTAGATTTTATGTCTTGGACCTGCGGAGCATTATCAACTTTATCTAAAACATCCCAATCTGATACATCTAGAGAAATAAAGATAAAAAGATCATAAAAAGAGATATTTTTATACGTACTTATTAAACATAAAAAACAAATCGTTACTACTAGGAATGTACAGGAAATATAACCTTTTCAGACATGAAAATAGCAAATACACATGTTTATATCTACCTGAATATGCTAGATATTGCAAAATATCTATAACACTATAGAACAAAAAAAAAATTTGGTCTGCTACCTGAGAAAAAAACCTGTCAGTCTGACTAATTCTAACATACTGATTACAGTGGTGTAATCAGAATATTTATATCACGTCAGGTTTTTGAGTTATACCATTTTTACATTTTTAGTAATAATGTATGTTGTAGCTAGTTTTTATATTGCTTAATATTGTTGTACACTTAGTGTGCTGTGTACTTTACTTTTAAATTTTATGTGTTTTTTTATTTTAGGCTGATCGTGCATTATTTTGAAAACAATATGAAGAAAGTTAAAAGGGGTTGCTTGAACCATCCAGACTATTTCTGTTATATCTGTGGACATTTTATACCCTGTGATCAGCGGAAACAACTTATAAGAAAAGTGCAGTTTGCCTATCACTACTACGGCATCAAAATGTGTGATCAAGACAGAACCTGGGCGCCACATATTTGCTGCAGTGTTTGTTATGTAAAGCTCACCCAGTGGCTAAATGGCAAAAGGAAGTCTATGACGTTTGCGGTACCAATGATATGGCGAGAGCCAAGAGATCATTATTCGGACTGCTACTTCTGCATGAAAAATATTGCTGTATACTTCAAGAAAAACAAATTAGCAATTCGTTATCCAAATTATGACTCTGCTTTAAAACCTGTTCCACATGATGACCAAAATCTAGTTCCCAATCCTCCAGTATACCTTGATGGCGAAAGCGACGATGATGATGAGGAAAGTCACAGGGAGCAAGAGAATGATGCATATGAACCTATAGATGATGAAATGATACCTCATCTAATAGGCCAAGCTGAATTGAACAATTTAATGAGGGATATGGGGTTAACGAAGGAGGCAGAACTGCTTGGATCTTGTTTACAACAATGGAATTTGTTACAAAGCGGAATAACAATTTCACATTTTCGTGATAGGTATGCACAGCTTTCTAAATTTTATGACAAGAATGACAGTATCTGTTATTGTACTGACATACCAGTTTAATGAAAGAACTGGACTATGAGGAGAACAATGGTCCTACTTGAGGAGACTGGCGCCTGTTTATAGACTCAAGTAAAGTTAGTCTTAAAGCAGTTCTCCTACACAATGGGAATGTGATGCCATCTATTCCATTAGCACACGCAGTCGGATTACATAAGACATATGATTCTATGAAGTTGCTTCTCAACATTATCAAGTTTAGAGATCAGAAATGGTGCCTCTGTGGGGATCTAAAAGTCGCTTCTTCTTGGATTGCAGTTGGGATACACATAGTATATGTGCTTTCTATGTCTATGGAACAGCTGTGACAATGAAAATCATAAACACAGTTAAAAACTGGCTAGTGAGAACTGATCATGTACCTTGCAGATACAATGTACGACATGAATCTCTTGTTGATCCTACCAAAATACAACTTCCCCCTCTTCACATAAAGCTTGGACTGTTCAAAAATTTTGTGAAAGCTCTGGGCAAGGAGCTTTTTCTCTTCTATTTACATAAAAATTTTAGTTATTGTATTGAAATTTAGAAGCATTGACATTATATTTCTAATGATCATAAAGTGTTAAAATGGTAAATCAAGATGTCAATATAACTTTAAAACCTGATGTGATACACAACTTTCAATAACATATTTGGAATCAGCAGGTCAATATGGTCTTGGTACACTTAATAGATCTCAGGTAGCAAACATGTTGTTCCCTAGTGTAATCATTAACTTATCTTTATAACTAAAACATCAGGTTTTAGAGGGGTGTTTTTATGCATAAACATCAGTAACAGCTTCGCTTGCTGAGATTAAACATGTTTTTTTATAAAAAGATACATTTACTAAGTACATACAATGAACACTCATAAACCTTTTGTTAAGTAAAAGTGAATAGATAGTGCAGCAACAAAAATAAAGCTTTCCATTATCTATTTATGTTTTACTATGCTGTTGTTTAGGCTTCATTAAGCAAATAAATTAAAACATAATTAAAACATCAAACTTGAATACAATAAAAAGTCCTCCTAATTATAATGCAAAATGGTTAATCAAACAGAAAAACTGTAGTTATCTCCAGCTTACTTTTTTAAAATAGGTTATGAAAGGCAAAGAAAGAGAAAAGGATTTTATAAAAATTATATAGTTATAAAGGCAAGATTGCACCCACCAAATTTCAGCCCTAGATGCATTTCAAATATAATAAAATACAATCTTTATAAAAAGCAAAAAAACATGTGTGTGTGTGTTAATGTATTAACACAACTTATTTCTCTTTTCTACATCGACAATGCCTAAAACATAACAAAAGTTATCTATACTTAAAATTATGCTTTTCTTAAAATCCATTTTTTTTCTGGATATGGAAAAAACTGTTGCTAAACCCAATATTTCCATTCCTTGGCTTTTAATTTTAAAGTACTCCTTAAGGCCTTTAAGAAGGTAAAAAAAAATCTTACTAGGGTAGAGCGGGGAATATCGGGACAGCGGGGCATAACAGGACAGTTATGCCTGAAGCTTTATATCTTATCTAAAAATTATTTTTTTTCAAAAATTTTTTTTTGATAAAACATTTTAAATTATTGTAACTCATTATTGTATTAAAAAATTCAATTTTTTTAAATACCATAATGCATTAAAAGTACTGAAATGCATCAGTAAGTTTGAGAAAAACAAAATTTGCATATTTTCTTAAGCAATACAGCGACAAAAGATTTATCTTGAACTACTGCGAATTTGCTTTATTTATAAAAAGTTTATATTTTTCAGATTGTATTTTTTATCCTATTTTAGAATCTGGTTTTAAAAAAATATTTGGAATTGAACTTTTTGAGTAGTATTATTTTCAGTAAAATGACTTTTGTGGGGCATATCAGGACAACAAGTTACACATATAATTGAGTATATTTCATTTCGTGATGCTTGATAATTTTATTTTTAATCTAAAATATATTTTTTTTTATTTAGAAAATTAATTTAAGTAACTAATTCAAAGAAGTTCTTATTTTTATAACTTAACTTCGATAATTAATAGTGTTTAATGTAAACAAGGAAGGTAATAAATTATATAAGAAAGATCAATCATCAAAAATGGGATGAAATGCAGTTTGGATGTTAGTAAAAAGGAACTTAGAATTAAAAAAGCTGCTGATACATATGGCATATTTAAATTTGCTCTATATTGGCATATTGCTAATAAGCCAGTTCATCAAAAATGTTGCCGAAATGTTTCAGGATATTTTTTGTGTGACTTATGTGATTCATAAAATTTTTTTGTTTAATTTTAAATTTAGTAGTAGTTACCAATTTATTAATATATAGGTTATAGTAGAGCGCAGGTATTTTATAATAAAATACACACACAAAAAATGTTTGTTTCAGCTGTTATTTCTTTTTTGTTGTATATGGGTGTATGGGCGTGTAGTTCCTGTGGGTGTTACTTTTTTGAGAGTTTATTGTGTGAACATATTTAGGAGATAGATAGCCTTCATATTTGATCATTTTAAAAGCTTTACTATTGATGAATAACTGCTGCTTTTTAACTGTTCCGTTTTGCCCCACCCAATTGCAAAATGTAAAAGTTTCGCTGGTCTAAAGTTTCATTACTTTAGTTGTCGTAACTTATTTTTAGAAATTTTTTGTTTTTTCATTTTCTTATATCAATGAATTTGAGGAAATTTATAAAAACCAGTGTTTATAAATTTCCGCAACTAGCATTTTTTTCTTAAGTGTGCCTATATGCCCTGCTCTACCCTACGTACTATAACTACTATATTAATAATTTGATAAACTTCGAAATATAGCTTAAGCTAAATGAAAATAAATTTCTTAAATAAAGAATAAAAACACATTATATTAAATATTTTACACAAAAACCCAACCTTAATTACCTCCTTTTAAAGCCGGAACAACTTTGATCTGCATAATAGGATAGGAAGCTGTGTGAAATGCAGCATCAAGATCCCAGTCAGACATTAAAGATAAATACACATCAGGTCGTGATCTAACATGTATGGATTTTGGAAGTAAATAGGCAATGTCAAAATCACTATAAATAAATAAATATAAAACAAATAAACAAATATATATATATATATATATATATATATATATATATATATATATATACATATATATATATATATATACATATATATATATATACATATATATATATATATATATATATATATATATATATATATATATATATATATATATATATATATATATATATATATATATATATATATATATATATATATATGTAGTCTTGCATGTCTCTTGCGTAGCATCAAAAAATATTTCCCATAAACTGTAGTTTTAAAGAGCGCGTTAATAAACCAGACCAGAAAAAGTTTTAAAAATTAAATTTTTTTTTTTAATTGATAGACTGCCTGGCCAAACCAAACCCTCAGTCGATGTAGCAGCACTCTCTTGCGAGTCAGGCTATTTGTCAGTCGTTGTAGCAGCACTCCCTTGCGAGTCAGGCTATTTGTCAGTCGATGTAGCAGCATTCCCTTGCGAGTCAGGCTATTTGTCAGTCGATGTAGCAGCACTCCGTTGCGAGTCAGGCTATTTGTCAGTCGATGTAGCAGCACTCCGTTGCGAGTCAGGCTATTTGTCAGTCGATGTAGCAGCACTCCGTTGCGAGTCAGGCTATAAGATAGTCGATGTAGCAACATTTACGCATGTTTAAAAAATGTTTTTTATTAAATCAATAGCAAAAACACCACTAATTAAAAAAAACTTTCTAGTCGTTATAATTGCGGTTTTTTAAAAGTTTTTTAAAAAACAATTAAATTTAATGTACTTCCGCATAAATTAATTGCTTTGACATTTCGATGACAATCAAAAACAGCTTAAGAGACGAGGTAATTAAAATTGTAGTCGTAAGAGACTTTTTTTACATTAAAATGCTCTTAAAGCGACACTATATGAGTATATATATACATATATATATATATATATATATATATGTATATATATATATATACATATATATATATATATACATATATATATATATATATATATATATATATATATATATATATATATATATATATATATATATATATATATATATATATATATATATAGTGTTATTCTAATAATAAACTTGCATTATAAATTTATACAAATCAAGCGTTAATTTCTCAAATAAAAAGTTACTCACTTATTCAAGTTGAATGCTTTTTTCAGTAACAAAAACAGACTAGAATAGTTTGTAATGTTTGGATCAACAGTCATTGTTTTGCAATCAATATTTCCACCAATTGAACACTAAAACAAACAAAAAAACATGTGCATAAAATTAGTAAAAAAATATTTATTTAACTTATGTTGACAGAAATTCAACTATAACAAAATATTGGTCTTATTTACAATCAGTTTTTTAAGAAAAACTATTTGTAAATGATTTTTACATTAAATATTTTAAAATGCACAAATTGGTATTGTAGCTGCAGCATCATAACTAGAAACACCTTTAAACAATGGTTTAAATAGTGCAGAATGATCAACATTATATGACACTGTTGTCATTTTTTGCCAAATGTTTGTCAAAAATATCAAGCAGTATCATAAATAATTTCACATTTTTGATATTGGGAAAATTTTTTTCAAGGTTTCCAAAATGCAAAAACTTTATTAACGTTTTATGAGTCTTTTGTTCATGTTTATTTCTCATTTTTTACAGCGGGTCATTTTATATGAAATCATCCAGACCATGACACCAGAATTGTCATTTATACCTCACTCGCAGTCCATATTAAAAAAATTATAACTGCAAAAATTTTAGTTAAAAATACACATGGGTTCCAGAGATATCGTCAATTAAAGTAATGCTGACTCAGCATCTAAGTGATTATCTGAAGCGACTACAAAGCAAATTGACATATAGTATCTTCATAATAGCTGGGGAAAACTTCCTAAAATTTGGTACCCTAATAGATTTGTACTTGCAGAATCCAAAAAAAGCTCCCTCAAGACTCGATTGTCTCAGGAAATACCTTGTTTATCCAATTTTGTTCAAAATTATTGACTTGTAAACTCGTGGTTTTTGGAGGTAAAATGAAGACTGTGGCCCAAAAATCCCGAATAAAAAGTTTAATTGTATATCATTATTTTATCTTGAGTCTACTGAAAAAAATGAGATTCATCAATTTGTCTCTCTAATACTTGATCAAAATTTGCGTTTAATAACGTGTATTTTTCAGAAAAATTTAAACTTTGTAACAAAAGCAATTGAAATGTTTTTTAAAACATTTATTTGAATAAAACATCAAATAGTGTTATTTATGGAAGTTTATAGTCATAGGCCAAGGGAGGACCAGGGGGCCTCTGACCAACTCTGCCCCCTCCACCCAATCTCCCTGGAGTTTTTTTTTAATGCATTAAATGATATAATAATAAATAATTATTAAAATTCAATTTAAAAACATAATTTTTTTTTAGTTTGAGAAACAATTTTTTTTTCATTATTTACCTCTTATTTCAAAGTAAGCACTCAAAACTAAGATCTTTTCACAATTTTAAAAATCATAAATTTTAAAACCAAAAATACTGAAATGTTTTTAACATTTTAACAATAATAAAACATGTCATATATAATAAAACCGTCATAAAAACATGCAATATAATTTTAATGTTTAATTAAATCTCTCTATTATGTTTGCTTTTTGGAATGATATTAAATATTTCAATACATGCATCAATACTTGTTTTTTTTTAACTTAAAATGTTTAAAGCAATTGGAATAAAATGATATCCTTGTGCTAGAAACTGTTCTTCCACCTAAATATCTTTTTTCTAATTGTGCTCGTGTTTGGTCGATTTCATCTTTAGAAAATAATTTAAAACAAATCCCATTTAACTTGGCTTTACAAAAGGAGTACATTAAATTAACATTTAAAATCTGCCCAGTAGTTATTTGTTTTAGACTTTCTTGGCATATTACTCTTTATGAGGTATGTTGCATTGGTTACATTGATGCAACATACATTCTGCATTTTTAAGCAAACAAACAATCAGCGCCATAAAATCTTTATAACTTTTATTCCATCTAATGACATCAATGAGAATTTTTGTATTTTGGTGATGTATGCATACACATACACAATGAGTACCTGATGCATTAGTATACACATACACAATGAGTACCTGATGCATTAGTATACACATACACAATGAGTACCTGATGCATTAGTAATACACCATTTAGGTGTAAGAGTACAAATCTTTGACAAACTGACTTTGACGTTAGGGCTTTAGGTTAGGTCTTTTAGGTTAGGCTAGTCTTTTTTAAATGCAACATGTAATTCATTAAGATTGAGCAGCAATAATCTTTTTTGAACATGTTGGTTTTTCTTAACAATTACAAAATCTTTTTTTCCTGGCATCATTCTCGAAAATTCATCACTTTGATAAAAGTTAATCACAAAAATTAACTGTTTTTGGTGAAAGTGGGGTTTTTTTTTCGGGCAATGATAGAATTCCATGTTCATTTTTAACTTTTCTTGCAGTTTGAACAAGATACTCAGACATTTCAAAGTAGCTTGATATCTTTATATGTGTCCATGATTTTGGTGCGAATGTTAACATTTGCACCTTATGGCGATAAGAGTCAGTCTCTGAATTTTGTTTATTTATTTCATACATTAAAATGTCTAGATCATGGTCATTTTAAATGTTGTTGTTTAAAATGAGGCCTTTTAGTTCTGTTGTTAAAGAAGTTTCTTTAATGTTAGATGCTAATGAGACTCTGTTTTTAAGAACTCTGTCAATAGTGTTCTCAAACTTTTGTTTTGCTGCAGGCAATTTGCTATGTTTTGAAAGAGTTGTTAGTTTGACTGGTGAAATTCCAAGCAATTCTATAGCGGTATCCAACTTAATTTTTTTCTGACTTTTTGATTCCCATTCCTCATTTGAATCTAAATCTTCATCTGCTATTTTGTAACATAGGAAAATCTTTATATTACCTAAGAAACAAATTTAGTTTTAAGTTTTTAAAATAACTGAAAATATAAAATTTTTTATAAATAACAAATGTTCTTCTTGTAATTAATGTTAGATTACTTTTTATAGCAAATTTTTTACTTTAATTGTGTGTTCCAAAAGGATTGCAACATTTTGTAATTTTTCTCTCAAAATATTTTCCATAGAATTGCTCATAATAACAACATATAATTGTTATTGAACAATATAATTGTTATTGAACAATTTTCCTTTAAATTTGCTCGCCATATTATTTCTTCTTGTTTTTCACAAGGAAGATCTTTGAATTGAACAAAACCTTGTTTACTAGAAAAACCAGTTTTGTGGCAATGAATGTTAAGACTTTTTCTAATGTCACATTTCTCCATATTAAATATGTTAATTATTTATAATACTACCTGCCAAAAAATTACAAAAACAATAAAATTCACAATCATTCTTTAAGAAAATACAAACAAGTAAAGTACAACCTTTAAAAAGAACAAAACAAAACATTTGCTTGTTTTTGATATAATAAGAGAGAGTTTAAAAAACATTTTTTTTTTCATTATTTTAATTCAGATTGGTGAATTCACCATATAATATTCACCAATTTGAATTAAAATAATGAAAAAAAAAATTGTTTTTTAAACTCAAACTAAAAATTATGTTTTTAAATTGAACTTTAATAATTATTTATTATTATATTATTTAATGCATAAAAAATAAATTAAAAAAAAAAAAAAATCCAGAGAGATTGGGAGGGGGGGGCAGAGTTGGTCGGAGGCCTATAAACTTGGCATATGACTATAAACATCCATAAATAACACTATTCGATGTTTTATTCAAATAAATGTTTTAAAAAACATTTTAATTGCTTTTGTTACAAAATTAAAATTTTTCTAAAAAAAATACAATTTTTAAATGCAAATTTTGATCAAGAATTAGAGACAATTGATGAATCTAATTTTTTTCAATAGACTCAAGATAAAATGATATACAATTAAACTTTTTATTCAGGATTTTAAGCCACAGTCTTCATTTTACCTCCATAAATCACAAATTTACAAGTCATTAATTTTGAACAAAATTGGATAAACAAGGTATTTCCTGAGACAATCGAGTCTTGAGGGAGCTCTTTTTGGATTCTGCAAGTACAAATCTATTGGGGTACCAAATTTAAGGAAGTTTTCCCCAGCCATTATGAAGATACTATATGTCAATTTGCTTTGTAGTCGCTTCAGATAATCACTAAAATGCTGAGTCAGCATTATTTTAACTGATGATATCTCTGGAACTTATGTGATTTTTAACTGAAATTTTGGCAGTTATAATTTTTTTAATATGGACTGCGAGGTAAAAATGAACAAATTCTGAGATGTAAGAGTGTCATGGTCTGGATGATTTCATATGGAATGACCCTACATATATATATATATATATATATATATATATATATATATATATATATATATATATATATATATATATATATATATATACACACACACAAATATAATATATATATATATATATATATATATATATATATATATACAAAGTATAAAAAATGGCTGGAACTATTTAATACTCCTTTATCTTTTTACACTATTTCATCAAAAATTGATTTTATAATAGCTATTTTCTTTTTTTCTTTTTTTAATTATTTCTTTAATATTTAATATTTGCTAAGTCTATTTATCACTGTAATAAAATTAAATTTAAAGTATTTATTCTTAAAATAAAGTTTTAAATACAATTGTTTAAAGCTCTTTTTTTTCTCTAAATAGAATTTTTTTCTTTATTGTCTACATACAAATTGTTAAATTATCGTAAATAATTCATTTTGAACACTTTATTTAAAAAAAATTATCTAAATGCAATAAACTTTAATACACTTGGTATTATAAAAAAATAAAAAAGTATTTAAAAAATTTAGTTAAAACAAATAATGAAAATATAAAGACTTGTTATAATGATTTGCTCTGGCTAAGCTTTAAAACACTATGTCTCTATTTATTTGAGATAGTGATAAGTGCAGTAGAGTTGACTGCATACAAATAAATAATTTTTTAAAACAAAATTAAGCCATATGACTGTATGAATCTATAAAATATTTATTTAATTATAAAACAATTTTAAAAATTATTTATTGGATACTTACTTAATAAGCCATAGAAAATCAGTTCTATGCTGATACAATTGACCTTATCATAATAATCCCAAAAAAAAAGTTAAATGCTTTACAATAAAAACTAATCACAGGTTTACAATATAAAACTGTATCTTGAAAAATAGAAAAAAGAATACTTGAAAAACATTTTAATACATTTATACTACTTATTAAATATACATATTTAAAACAATATTTTAATACATATATACTACTTATTTAAAAACCAAGAAAGCAATATTGAAATTTAAAAAAAATTCAAAGCATATCTTTATAGTTATCTTTTAAGAAATAACTAATTTTAAATTTGACATACTTGTGCTACTATCTGTATAGCTTCTCTTTCTGAAAGTGGTGGTTGATCATACCACATACTCGAAGCAAAAGAAGAAATTAATTCAAATGAACTACTATTTGAGGAAACCAGACTTCCATAACTGCTGCAATTTCCACTTTCAACAGAAGAAAAACTACTGCTGGAACTGGAACTTAACCCTTGATCATCAATTGGGTTATTATGGTAACTGGAATCTGATAGAAATTTGAATAAATTCGAACTAAAAGGGGCAAACATTACCACAGATCAAAATGTATTTAAAATCTATATTGCAAAGCATTGTTCAATTAAAACTGATAGGTTTTTAATAAAACTTTTCCTTTAGGGTACCATGTTGTTTTAATATTTACAATGTTGTTACACGAACGTATTTTTTCGCATCGATTACGTTTACATTATCTCGAAAATTGTTTATGCTTCATTACACGACACGTTTTTATTATTATAATTTAAATTTATTGAACACCCTATATAATACAAGGTAAAAAAAAAAGGTAGAAAGTTCTTTTCAGTGATTTTTGCTTAATAGTTTTTTCTTCAAAAATTTGTTTAAAATTTATTGCTATTATTTTTTTATTTTTTATTTTTATGCATTGCTATTTTTATTATTATTTGTATTATTATTGTTATCATTGTTGTTATTAATACTATTTTGTTACAATTCTTACTTTTGTAACTTTTAATGCATACATCTTGATGCTTAAAAAAAAAAATTTTTACCTCAAAAAAAAAAAAAAAATTAGTGCAATGAAAAAAAACATAGTCATTAGAAATATCTATTTCCTATGACTATGAAAAAAACTAAACGTAATGGAATATTTAATAATAAAGCCTTTGAAAAAGAAAAAACACACTCAAACAAACAAAAAAGCGTGGGAAGAAATAAAAAGACTTAGCAATAAAGTTAAATTTGCAGTTTTCAAATACAATAAAAATTATTTGTAATACGTAAAGAAGTGATTATATTTGTTTTAAAAATTTTACGAATAATACCGCTTCTCACAGCTAATAAATATTTTAAATAAGCACGAAAACGTTGAATTAATGTTTACGAGTCGTCGAACACAACGTTGCATAAACGTTCTAAATTACGAATGTATTAAAGCCAAGATTTTGTCCGAGCCGAAGCCTTTAAATTTACACAGCTAAAATTTGCTATTTTGCATAGCAAACTAAATTACTAATTGCTAACTACATTACTAAGTAACTATATAACTATTTGTTAACAAATGACATACTTAAGTATATTAATTACTATTATAGTTTGTGCCGTAAAATATACATATAATGTATACAAGGCCGGCGCGATAGGGGTGTGTGTGTGACACCCCCCCCCCCCATCAATGATTTTTAGACGGCAAATTAGACCCTTAGTCGGCAAATTGGACCCTTTTAGACTAGTTAGTCGGCAAATGTTGACCCTTTCGTTATTGGTTATCTAGACAGTCGGCAAATGTCGTCATGGCAGTCGGCGAATTTTTTTTTTTTAGTCGGCAAAATTTAATGGCACTCCCCCACGTGACACCTACTCGCGCCGGCCCTAAATGTATACATACGTACGTATATAGAACGAGCAGAAAAAACACCCTACTATTAACAACCAGTTTTATAAATATTTGTTTTAAACTTTTTTCCACAACCAAGAGTTTAGTCTAATTTTTAAATAATCCAGTGAAGTAGAAAGTTACTTGCTCAGGTAGTTCGTACCAGAATTTTGCTGATCTATTTTTATGTATATAAATTATTATCATAACTGATTGTGTATATATATATCATTGTGTATATATTGTTACCATAACTGATTGTGCCTTGAAAGGCATTTTGGGACATACTCACGACTTATTTTAATATGGTGACCGTGAGACAAGGAGTTAATATTTTTTGGTAGATGTAAATTATTAACTTTATTAAAACTATGCATAGTGTAAAGATTTGAGCTAGATTGTTTCGTAGGCTCTGAAACTGAAGTAATTGTAGATTTAATCTTTTTAGTCTTTTGCAATATTGAATTTACATAATCAATTTACATAATCAAATGTTTGGACAATATTGGAGGATGGTTTATCTGATATCTGATAGTAAAGGTTAGTAGCAAAAAAATATCGAAAACTGTCTGTTTTCGATGCATAAAAACTAAAGATTACGCTTACGTTATTTTTATGTCTGAGTATAAAAAGTATTTTTAATTAAAATAGTATATTTTAAAATAAAAGTCAATAAAGCTAATTTAAAACAACGTTAGCGTAAGAAATTTGACAAATAAAAAACGCAAAATAGCGTTTTTGGAAAACATGAATCAACATGAAACAAAAGTCGCGTGTAAATAATATTAATATTTAATGTTTTTTTAATTAGATTTCCTTTAGACTAGATTTCCTCAAATGAACAAGTTTCATCATTATAACAAATTTTCACCATGCAATGCTGACATTGATTTTTTGGTATTTTGGCACACTCTGTCTGTGAATTGGTTCAAATGAAAATGTCCCACAGAATTCTCAAAACACTGACGGTGAGAGAAAAAAGGAAAAAATTACAAATCTAAAAACAAAATTGACACATTTAAACGAAATTATTATTAAAGAAAAATTTATTAGGTTGAAATTTTTTATTTAACCTATAAAACTATAAGTTTAATTGATAATTGATATTTAAAAAATTTCCTAAATATCAATTATCAATTAAATTTCACACCTACAACTGACATATAACACAACTGACATATATACAACTGACATATAATACAACGACATTTGTATGTGTCAGTTGTAGGTGTGATATCACTTTTTTGCTTTTTAGCTCTACTCTTTACTTTCTGTTGACTCCAAACTTACTTAGTAACAAAATTAATGGTTTCTTGTACCCTTGTTTAGAGTAAATTTGTTATATATATATATATATATATATATATATATATATATATATATATATATATATATATATATATATATGTAGGGTAAGGCGGGGCGAGTTCGTCATGTTTTACTTTAACAAAATGAATTCGCATATAAATAAGTGAACTTTTCTAGTTTAAAAACTTTTTTTTATTAATTAGGGTCTCTATTTTGTTAATGTATTGAATCAAAATGAATTCTAAAGTTACTTTAGCGTATAATTTGATTTTTTCATCATCAAGTCATGAGGGGCGAATTCGTCAGTACAGCTAAACTAATTTAAAAATTCGTGACTCGGGCGATAGAGGAAATTCCTTTCTAGTGGTAAAGGCAACTTACCTAGGAGAAAAAAACTTTGACATAAAACATTTTTGAGGTTACAGTAGGATGATTTCCCTAATCTAGAAGTAAACCTAGAAGTTGCGAGTTCGATTCCTACCGCGTCCCTGGTAGTACTGCGTTCAACTTTTTTTTCTCTCAACTCTATAACTCCGAAACACGAACCTTGATCGTCAAGGTTCGTGTTTCGGAGTTATAGAGTTGAGAGAGGGTTGTAAACACAACTAAAGTAGCCTCCTCGACTGCAGTGGCCTAGGGTAAAAGGACATCAAAAAGGACATCAAAAAGGACATCTAAAAGGACATCAATTGTTAAACTTTTTCCAAGAAAATATCAAATAATGATTTTGGCATAAATGAAAACCGTATAACCGCGCTAGCGCAAAAAATAGCACGTTAAAGCAACAAAAAATCATATCACTACTATGACTAATTAAATAACAAAAATCATATCACTACTATGACTATTTAAAAATTTACAAGACGTTTATATGTTCATTGCACACAATTTGCACATGTATCAACTTTTTATTATTAAATATCTTTATTGCTAATTCAATCGCTTCAATAGTCACATGACTTTTGTGGCCATCCAAAAATAACAATACTTTTTTCCCATTCACTTTTGTACAAAACTCATTAAAATGATGTAAATAAGCAATAAAAATCTCTTGATCAATATATCCACTTTGACTACAATGCACTTTTGAACCCAAAGGAAATTTAGATGCATCTGGAATCTTTGTTCCCTTAAATATGAAAAATGGTGGTAAGCTGTCTCCTGCTGCATTAACAGTGGCCAGGTATGTTGTTAGTGTGCCACGTTCACCAATAGTTAACTTTTGTACCTCATGAGAACCCTTTAATGCTATTACCTTAACAGAGACATTTGGCACAGATGAAAAGCCAGTTTCATCACAGTTATAAATCAAATTTGGATAATTTTTTATGTCAAGCTGTTCATAAAAAGGTTGTAAATCGTTAAAAAATGTCTGAACGCAATTCTCATTAAATGCTTCTGCTCTTGCTCGAGAAAGCCCTTCAGGAATTCTTAGTGTCAACTGAGTATGCCTTTTTCGGAATGAGAGAAACCAATCACGTGATGCCAAACATTTATTATGCCAACTTTTTGGAATGGACTTCTGTAATAAATGACGTCTACACAAGCTTTTGGCATAGAAATAAGCAGCAGATTTTAACCACATTATTGTGAGAGGAAACCCTCTATCAGCCATATAAAGCAGCCTTTGAACAAGAGTTTCTTCTTGATTTTTAAAGAAAATTGTTTTACCACCTATAGAATGTGTTTGATGTTTTCCCCGTAATTTATCAATCAACGTTGTACGTGGAATATGAAATTGTTTTGCTGCAGTTGATATAGTTTCTCCATCTATAATGGTTTGCAGAGCAGCCTAAAAAATTTCTGCATTATAATTTTTTTGTCGCTTTGGTTTATAATTACGTACCATCTATACATTTTAACATGAAAAATAATGTTATTAAAATCTACCATAAGTAATAATACATTCTTAGTTTTTTTTATATTGGTATATATATAAATAAATATATATATATACAATATGTATATATATATATATATATATATATATATATACAAAAATATATATATACAAAAATATATATATATATATATATATATATATATATATATATATATATATATATATATATATATATATATATATATATATATATATATTCATTGGAAAATATAAACAAATGTATCATTCATTGGAAAATATAAAGCATTTATATATAAATGCTTTATATTTTCCAATGAATGATACATTTGTTTATAATAAATACTACAAAAAATACTTATAACAGATATTTTATACTGTACACACATTTTATACTATATACTTACTATTTACTTTTTACAATATATAATAGTTATACTAAATAGTATAATATTATATATATTTTTTAAAATAGAATAAGATCTTTGCTATATAATATATAATAAAAGTCTTGTTTTAATGTAAAATTAGTAAATAATATTAACTATTCTAATAATATTTATTGAATTTCAATAATATTTTAACAATATTTAATACTTTTAATAATTTTTATACATATTTTAAATATGTATAAAAATAGGCAATGGATAGCCTAAAAATATATAACATATATGTTTTATATACTTATTATTTAC